AGGCCTACTGATTTCATTGGCTTTACCATATCCCATCATATCTAGAAGTTAGCCAAATTAATAGCACAGCCAAATCACCTCTTAAAGTCCTACTTATGATACCATGTAGGAGAAAACACCCTGTGAATTGGGGTATCATCTTGCACCACTCTAACCCAGCACCAGTGATCAGCATATGGTGCTGTTTCTCCTGTAATGAGAATATGTGGGGTTAAAAAAGTAAGAGTGAAAAAGATACTTAATTATCTTTTTGCAAAAATTTTACCATTTTTGCTTCTTATTCCCACAACTATGGTTTCCACTATTTCAGAAGCTTATTATTCAAGAAAGGAGTATTTCTTTAAGAGAACACAACAATGATTCCACTGAATTAGAAGCTGAGACTGCCACCTCATGCCAGTAAGCAAATCAGCAAATAAAGGAATTTCTACGGTGGCCATCAGATGGCATAGTGATTACATTACTGGACTCCCACAAGGCCGACCACATTTTGAGTCCTGGACCTGGTGGCTTGAAACTCACCCCAGGTACATGTGCGTGCATGCCCAAGATACTGGGAGAAAAATGGAGGAGAAAGGATTGCAGCATGGCCAACTCCCCAGGGGGTGAATATTTCTCATTTCCCCTCTCACTGTCTCTCTCTCTCTCTCTCTCTCTCTCTCTCCCCTCCCCGGAAAGCACACATGCCTTAAGGCAAAAGCTTCTACAAAAAAAAAATTACTATGTTGGAAAGGGTTATTGATCCTGATCATCATTAAGTGCTATATTGTGTATTATAGCAATGAACCAGTTTATTTCCATTTCCTTACTGAGATACTTTTATATTGTTTTACTATAACAATGAATATCTTTGTACATATATTCTTATACACATGAGTGAAAGGGTAAATAATTTCTAATTACTATTATTTTTTAAACTTTGCTATAGAGCACATGCAATTGCAAGAGAGAGAGAGAGAGATAGGAAAAATGAGAAAGTACTCCCTGAGGCATATGGCCATGCTGCAATTCATTCTCCTCCATTCTCCTTTCAAGATTTTGGACACACATGCACAAGCACTTGATATGTTTTTCACACCTCCAGAGATTCAAAATGTGCATCTAGCCCCCTTTTAATCACCAGATCACCAGCTGGCCTCTGAAAGTGGAATTGTTGGGTCATGGAATATGTGAATATTTAACTATACAAAGTGTCATCAATAAATCACCTACATGATTGTACCTTTTTGCACCCTACCAATAATGATTAGATTCCTTTTTCTGCACATCCTTGAAAATATTTACTGATCTTTACCAATGTGATGAGTGTGAAATTATTTCATTATTGATTTAACTTGTTGTGGAGCGCCCCCGGCCCATCGCCCTCAGCGCCTATTTCAAAATGGTGCTCGACGGAAGCCCGCTGAGCGCTCAAAGCAGTAAACAACTTTAAGGAAGTAGGGCAGTGGGGAGCGTGGAGAGCACGGGAACACCGCATGCAACCAATCCTCTTCCTCTTTCGAGGACTGGCTTCCGTGCTCGTGACCAATGTGCCAATTGGTCAGGGGCCCTTTATAAGGCCCTGGGGCGGGGAAGGGAGGAGGAAGAAGACTGTACAGAGCCTGGGGTAAATAAAGTGTTGTAGAGAAGACCGTCTTCGGGTCGTTTGTAAAGCGACAACTTGTATTACCCTCATTACCTGAGGATGAGCATTGTTTCATGTCTCTCAGTGGTGATATTTAAACAAAAAGTATCAATTCTCAGTTTTTCCACAAGAACAACAGTAATATTCTGAGCAGTAGTATGTATCATTTCATGAAGCAGTTCTTATATTCATGCCTTTGCCACAGATTTTCATCCCTACTTAGGTCTGGGTTAGCTGCTATTGAATTTAGCTCCCTTGAGGGTAGGATAAAGAGAAAAGCCTATGCAAGATGTTAAACTTATATTTGATAGGGGCCAGCAAGTGTTATGGTGGTTAAAGCACTGGATTCTCACATTGCTGGCAATGGTTTGAGTCCCAGACCCAGTGGCTTGAAACTCATACTGGGAGCATGCACATGTGTGCCCATAATCCCTGGAGGAGAATGGAGGAGGGGGGATTGTGGCATGGCCATCCCCTTAGGGAGTGATTTCTCACTTCCTTTTTTTTCTTTGTCTTTCTCTCTCTCCAGGGATTGTGTGTGCCCTATGGAAAAAAACATTAAAAGAAAATTACGTTTGATAGTCTATAAAATAGATACTTCATGTGGCTTTTGTGGTCCCAATCTCAAATTAGTGTTGTGTAAACCAAGGAGTGTTTTGTTGTGATCTCAGAGATTTTGTACCCCAAATTCCTGTTAGTAATTTGGATTTCTGATAGTATAGCATGGGTTATTTAAGAGTATTGTATTGAAGTTGAACTGCCATGCCTTACCTTTATACAGCAACTTTAAATGCAGAAGTCAAGTGTGAGTCGTCATAGCATGCCAGAGCTGAAAGGTATGTTCACAATTAGCAGAGAAAAAAGTAAAAACTAAGGCTGAGAGAGTCCGGCCTGTGAGGTTGTCAAGAGCTTAGTTACCAACCCGTCTGAGTCCTCAGAGTCCCTGCATGGTTCCCAGTGATGTGATCATTTTCCACCTGTCCCACATTAACAAGATTGACTTGGGAAGCAATGGGTCTGTTGAGTTTCTTAATGTCTCAGGAGAATTTTATTTTTATTTTTTATGAGACAGAGAGCCACATGCCCATTGGGCTCAAGGAGGTCCTGGGAACCCAGTACCTTTCCCATGTGAATCCAGTTGCTTTACTACTGAGCTACCTTATAGCCCCTCAGGAGAGCTTTTGTCCTGTGTCTCTGACTTAATAGCCTTGGATTTTCTGCCAACATCTACAAAACTTCTTACTTGAAAGTAGAGTACAATCTCAGACATTTCACAGTTCCTCACAGTTGCAAGCAATAGTTTCAGAAGCTGTTAATAATTTTTTTGTGGGGCAATGGTCCTCTGGTCCAATTAGTTTAAGAAAAAGCTAAGGCGGGACCAGCAGTTAGCATAATGACTATGTCGCTGAACTCCCATGTAGTTGACCGCGGTCTGAGTCTCGGATGGACCCAGTGGCTTAAAACTCATGCCGGTGCGCATGTGCGTGTGTGCCCAAGATCCTGAGAGGAGAATGGAGAAGGAATTGCGGTGTGGCCATCCCCCCTGGGGGGTGACTTCTCGCTTCCTGTCTCTCTGTCTCTCTCTGTCTCTCTGGTGAGCACACGTGCCCTATAGCAAAAACCTCTCCAAAAATATATATATAAAGCTAAGGCAAAAAGTAGAACAAACAAACCAAAAACGTAAAAGAAAGGGAAAGCAGTCTCTTCTTGTCAGACCCTTCAATGAACTAAAGAGCATTCTGAATTGCTCCTGGGCCTGGAGAGCAGGACAGGGAGTGGATAAAGTGTGAAAAGTTTCAAGAAATACTGTATTTGAATAGGACAAAATGCCTTTTTTCCCCCCTAATAGAATGCCTATTAACATTGGAAAGAATTTATGGAATAAAATTAGAAAACCCATTGGAAGACGAGTATAGTATAATGAGAACAAAGATGGAAATCTGTTGAGGTGAGTTTACATATGCCTTGTTGAAACACAATGTAGTAGTCTAATCACTATGGAAGCATCACCAACCTGGTTCTTTTGCAGATGTGTGCAAATCAGAGGAGTTAATGGGATTTTGCCCAAGACTTAGATTTTAGAGCCAGAAGGAGGCATAGAAACACTGTCCAAACCTCTCATTTTATACATAAGGCACTGAGACCTAGTGGAAGGAAGGCACCTTGGGCCACCCAATTAATGGGTAGCGATTATAGCCATAAAATCTAAGTGCTTTGAGTCTTCTTTAGTGTTCTGCATACATTATTTTTGTCTCATGTTGCCTTATTGTTTCATTTAATTGTTACTCAGTTTTAAGGTCTTCTGAAGGCAAATATAATTGATCCCACTTTGAGCTTCTGGTGTGCTTCTACTATAGTGTAACAATCTATTGAACATCTACCATGTTCACTACAGTCACTCTCCGCATCCAGCCGTGCCCAAGACAGCTTTCTGCCTTGATAGAAAGAATCCATTATCAGTACAGAGATGCAGCCCTGAGCCACGTTTGGCTATTGAGCCCTTGAGAATGCAGCCACTGTGATTGAGGAACTGATTTCTTAATTTCATTTAATTTTAAGTAATTAAAATTTGCATTTAAAAAGGCACATTTGGCTTGGAACTGCTGTAGTAAGCACTGTAGTGACTGACTATAGTGACCGTAGCAGCTACAGTGAACGTCACAGACATGAATATGAGAGAGGAACTGGCAGCCAAGGCTAGTGTCTGAATTCCAATTATTCCTTTTGGGTGATCTAGAACAAGCAGTCATGCTACTGGTGCAAGCCTTAAGGCCCCTTCATTTATTCAACAGGCATTTAACAAGCACTTATAAGAGTCAGGCCTCCAGGTCCCAGCAGGTGACATGGTGGTTAAGGCTCTGAATTTCCATCTGGCCAACCATAGTTTGAGTCCCAGACTCAGTGTCTTGAAACTCACACTGCAGGCAAGTGCATGCATGCCCAAAATCCTGAGGGGAGAATGGGAAAGAAGGGAGTGCAGCGTGGCCATCCCCCCCTGGGGGTGATTTCTTACTTTCCCTTGCTCTCTCTCTCCAATGAGTGCACATGCTCTATGGCAAAAACATAAAATAAATGAATAAATAAAATGCAGGCAGGTCTTGAATAGGAGAGAAGGTGTATAAGACACTAACTAAGTGGTTAAATGGGTAGAGGCCTGTGGAACGAGGCAGACCATGTCATTGAGAAGGAATCAGCGTCAGACCCCAACAGGGGGGTCACATGTTCCAAAACGGACACTCATATGTTCCAAAAAGCGTCACTGCCCCGGAGGCTTCTGGGTGAGGCACAGTCCTGGGGCTTCCGGGTCAGGAACCACCCAGGGGCTTCTGGGACAGGAAGCACATGGGGGGGGGGGGGGCATCTGAGACAGGAACTGCCCCAGGGACTTCTGGGTCAGTGACGGTTGGGCGGTGAGGTGATACCTCAGCTTGGTGGAAACACTGAGTCATGCCCTCCAAGGGGAGGTCAGGTCGGAAGCGGAAAAGGTCGAAGACCCAGGAGATGCAGGGTGTGCACTCAAGGCTGGCAGCTTGTGAGGCAGGACGCAATGAGAACCCGGCGGTAGGGTCAAATCGCGGAGGTGACAATCCTGGGCATGAAGCCATCATGGCTGCCATGCCTCAGCCTGTCTGGCAGGCTTTTCTGCGTGGCCTCCAGGCTGAGACACGCTACTCTCTGGTTAGGATGTGGGCCCACAAGCGCTTCGGGATCCTCGTGCTCGCTTTCTGGGCCCTGCTGCTGTTGTGCTACTTCCTGAGTTCTGGTGAGTGCCGGCTCCAGGCTGGGACCCACAGACCCATGGCCTCTCACAGGCCTTCCCACCTTCCTCCCAGAAGGCTCTCCCAACCCCCACACTGCACTTCTCAGTTCTCCTCACAAAGCCCTTTTCTCTCCTCTCACCAACTTCATAAACTCTTCTTCGCTATCACCTTCCCTCAGGAAATCCCTTCAAAAAGACCTCCCCTCCTTTCTCTGACAGAAGCGTTCCCTGTTCCCTTCCTTACTTTCCATAACAAGATACCAAACTCTGTCATCTCCTTTTTTTTTTTGAAGATGAATTTTGCCTAACATAAGATTAACTATTTTAGGGGCCAGCAGGTGGTATGGTGGTTAGGGTGCTGAATTCCCACATGGCGGACTGTGGTTTGAGTCCTGGACCTGGTGGCTTGCTGTCTCTCTCACTTTCGTGTGTGTGTGTGTGTGTGTGTGTGTGTGTGTGTTTCTCTCTCACTAAAAAAAGAAATAAAAATTTAAAAATTAAAAAACAAGAAGATGGTGATAAATAAAATTAAATAAGTAAATCTTTTAAAAAAGATTATCTATTTTATAGTGAAAATTCAGGGGACTTAGTATATTTAAATATTGTGGGACCATTATCTCTGCCTACTTCCAAAATATTATTTATCACCACAAATTAAAACTCATACCAACTGGTTAGTTATTTTTATTTCGTCAGCCCATTCCTTTCTATGACTGAGTAGTATTTCATTTTATGACTATACTCCAGTGTTTATCCATTTATCCAATTTACCAAAGTTGAGTTCATTCTCCTTTGGGGTTATTATGAACTATGTTGCAGCAAACATTCATGTATAAATTCCTGTGCAGACATGTTTTAAATTCTTTACCAGTGGAATTGCAGGGTCATATGGGAACTACATGTCGAACTTTTTGAAGAACTGTTTTTTTTTTTCTTCTTTTGAGAGACTTTTTTCTATAGACCATGTGCACTTGCTAGAGAGACAGAGAGAGGAAAAATGAGAAATCACCCTACAATGGGATGGCTGTGCCACAATCCCTTCTCTTCCATTCACTTCTCTTGTGGGCACACATGCACATGCACCTGGTATGAATTTCAAGCCACCGGGTCTGGGACTTGAACTGTGGTCTACCATGTGGGAGTCCAGCACCTTAGCCACCATGCCACCTGCTGGACCCTCAAACTGTTTTAGAATGTGGTTGAACCATTTTACATCTCCACCAACAAGGATTCCAACTTTGCCAACTTTGGTTACCCTCCCCTCTTTTGGTTCCAGTCATCCTATTGTAGTGAAGTAGTATCTCGTGGTTTGGATTTGGACTTCCCTAGGGACTAATGATGTCGAACATCCTTTCATGTGGTTGTTTGCTATTTGTATATCTTCAGAAAAATATATTTTTTAAGTATTTGACCAGTTTTAATGGGTTTGTTTGTGGTTTTCTTATTGAGTTATAAGAATTCTTTATATTGTATACTAATATATTATTTGTAAATATATATATTGTCCAATATATTATTTGTAAATGTCTCCTCTCATTCTGTACATTGTCTTTTAACTTTGTTAAGAATATCCTTTGATGTACAAAAGTTTTTAATTTTAAGAATGCCCAGTTTACTTATTTTCTGTTGGTTGGTTGTGCTTTGGGTGCCAAATCCAAGGTCATAATAGTTAGCCCTATATTTTCTTCTAAAGTTTTATGGATATAGTTTCCATATTTAAATTGTTGATCCATTTTGTGTAAAGTTTTATGGCTTTAGTTTCCATATTTAAATTGTTGATCCATTTTTAGTTAATTTTTATATGTGGTATGTGTTAGTGGTCTGCTTTCATTCTTTTGCACGTGACTATCCTGCCATCCCAGCACCATTTGTTGAAGAGATTATTTATTCTTCGTTGAATGGTCTTGGTGCTCTTGTCAAAAATCAACTGACCATGGTTTTATGGATTTATTTCTGGACTCTTAGTTCTATTTTCTTAGTCTATCTGTCAATTTTTATGCCATTACCATATTCTTTTAATTACTACAGCTTTCTAACAAGTTTAGAAATTAGGATAAGTCCTTCTGTTTTGTTCTTCATTATCCATATTATTTCAAATATTTAAGACCCCTTAAAATTCTCTATCAGAAGGCATAAACCCCTGAGCTGTGGACCAATACTAGTCCATGGCTTGTTAGGGCCCCAACACCCTCACCTATGCATGGGGGGACGGGGGCACTCAGGCAAGCAAGCAAGCCAGGCTTCCTCTGTGTTTGAGTAAGTGAGCAAGGCTTTGTCTGTGTTTGTTCCCATCACAGGCATTGCTGCCTGGGCTCTACATCCTGTGGGATCAGTGGGAGTATTGTATTCTCATGGGATCATGTACCCTAATGTTGTCTGATTGTTTCATTATATATTGCAACATGGTAGTGGTGGAAATGGGGTGCACGGTGAATGTGATGCACTTGAGTCGTCCTGGGGTCAACCCCTCTCACCTCTGCCCTGCTGTCTGACTGTGGAGGGATTATCTTCCATGAGGCTGGTGTTCCCTGGTGCCAGGAAGGTTGGGGGCCTCTGTTCTGTATAAATTTGAAAATTTGCTCTTCCATTTCTGCATAAAGGCCTTTGGAATTTTGACAGGGTTTGCACTGAATCTGTGAGAGATCATTTTTAAAAATATTGCCATCTTAATATTCAGTGTTACAATTCATAAATACAAGGTGGGTTTCCATTATTTATGTCTTATTTAACTTATTTCAACAATGTTTTGTAATTTTTAGTGCACAAGTCTTACTCTCCTTTCAAAAATGTATTCTTAGATATTTTATTCTTTTGGATGCTATTGCAAAATGAATGGTTTGTACAATTTCCTCTGGATTGTTGATTGCTTGTGTATCAGATCAAAAGTGATTTGTACATGTTGATCCTGTACCCTGAAACCTTGCTAAATTCATTTTGTAGCCTAATAGGTTTTTCTGTGGACTTTAAGAACATATTCTAGAATTCTAGATATAGAGTTATGTTATCTGTGAATAGAAATAGTTTCACTTTTTCCTTTCCAGTGTGGATGCCATTTAGTTTTTATTACCTAATTGCTCTAGTTAAAACATCTAGTACAATGTTGAATAGCAGTGGTGAAAATAGACATCCTGGGGCCAGCACATGGAACTAGTGGTTAAGGCTAATGGGTCTCACACAGCCAACCACACAGTTTGAGTCCTGGACCTAGCAGCTTGAAAAACACTGGGTGTGAATGCATGCACGTGTGCCCCTAATGCCAACATGAGGGAGAAATGGAGAAGGGATTGTGGCCTAAGGGGGTGCTTTCTCAATTTCTCTTTCTTTCTGTCTCCTTGTTTCCAACCAGTGCACACTTTCTCTGACAATTAAAAATAAAGAAGTAGACATGCTTGTCTTGGGGGAAATCTGTCAGTCTTTAACCATTGATTATGATGCTATTTGGTAAATCGGGAAAGTTGTGATGTGTTTTTCCAGGTTTTCTATGCAAAAATTCATCATGACTTTCCCAACAATCCAGTAACTATGGATTTTCCATAAATGCTGTTTTTTTGAGGAAGATCCATACTATTCTTAAGTTTTGCAGTGATTTTAATATTACAGGTTATATTTTGTCCAATAATTTTTTCATAACTGTGGAAATGTGAGGTTTTGTTTTTCTTTTTTTTTCTTTATTCTATTTATGTGGTGTATTATATTGATTGATTTTCTTATGTTGAAGTATTTTGTTTCCCTGGGATAAATTGAGACACAGACCAGTGTGCTACTGCCAACCAACACTTATTTCAGATGGTGCGCTGAGTCAAGTGGCAACTTGGACAGTCAGTTCAAGATGAGGGGTACTGTACAGACAAGCGAGATACAGAACAAAGGTCTTGTCAGGACCTCTTTGGACTATAGCTTCTTTCCTGTGTCAGGTAGAATAGCAGGCCCTTGAATTTGGCAAAGTGTACATGGTGATTTTAATGTCTTTTTTTCGCCCATGTGCTGGAAGCACTCTTTTAGTGTAGCCAGCTACTTCTAATCCTATTTTGTTTTAAATTAATTTTTTTCATGATTGAGAAAGACAAGAGCACCCATCAGGGTTTTGTTTGTTTGTTTGTTTGATTGCTAGTGAGTACCTGTGCTCCCTAGAGAGAGTCAGACAGGAAGTGAGAGGAAGAAAGCACACACTCCCACAGTGGGACATGGTAACACTGCTACAATTCCTTCTCCATTTCTCATTCTGTTGGGATTTGGGGCACACATGTACAAGTGTCCAGTGAATGTTCAAGCTGTCCAGTGAACTGTGATTGCCCTTGAGAGATCCAGTTCCCTTGACCACTTGGCTGTAGAGCTGGCCTCTCAACAGAGTTTTGACACTGTGAACCACCCTTAGCATCAGCCAGCCTCTGACTCCAGTCGTATTGTGTTCGCCACACTCAAGAAAGTCTCTAGACACAAACTTGTGTGGATCAGCCTTGCATAGCCCCATCTGGACCACCATCTGGACCCTCTCTATATATGTGCATGTGTGTATATATATAATATTTGTATTTATACATAATGTTTGTGTGTGTGTGTGTATACATATATGTATGTGTGCGTGTGTGTGTGTATATATATATTTGTTTGATTTTTGGTTTAAATATCTTTTCAGAGAGACCAATCCTATTAAAACTAGGTTCCTTGTGCATTCTATATTCGCTTTCTTAGTAGCACTCATTGAGAATTATAATTATTTAATTTGTTATTTTCTTGCTTTATAGTCTTTCTTCTCTGTTATATTGTAGTAAGCTCCATGAGGACAGGTATCTTGTCTGACTTGTTTACTTATATATCCCCCAAACATAAAATATAGTAGGCATTCAGTAATGAGTAGGAGTTAAGAGAAAACAAACAGGACAAAATGGATTATTTTTAGTATTGTCAAGATACCTAATATACAGAGAAGAAATTTGTCATGATTACCATTAATGCATAGTGTTGGAATGCATAAAACAAATAAACTCCAGTAGAAATGGACA